TCTTATACTCTGCATTCAAATGTTTTTCCCCCTTTCATCGGGTCATCTTGCAAGGCTGTACATTGCAGGTTTTTCTCAGTTGCTCTGATCAAATTTACTATGATATTGTGCTTTTTCTTTAACACCCTCAAAGGTTTTCTGGTACAACACATTTTAAGCTTAGGAATAAGGCTGCCAGCTGTGTCTCTAGGAACTTTTAATGTTTTGGAAATCTTCATGCAGCCTTAGACTTTCTAATGTAATTAAATTAATTCTTCTATAGCTTTTGAGAGAGCTCTGTTGAATTTGCCATATTTGCTGCTCACATCAGCACATGCATGGGCTAAGTTTATGTATGTGTAACAGCTCAAGCTAATTCTGTTTTTTTTTTCTTTTTCTCGAGTTTCTAAAGTCTTAATTGTGTTTTAAGACAATTTTGTTCCCCACCATACAAAAAAAAGTGTCTTAAAAGCAGCAATGTTGAATAGGGGTTGAATAATTATGACATAGCTGTGTTATTTAAAAACAATTACATTATATATTGACATTATAACTTTTAATATGCTAGTAAACTGTTATAAATGCAATTTTTATAAAATCGTGGATCTTCGGAAATGCTTGTATTTGTAAAGTTGTTTTGATTGCAACTATACACACATACACACACACACACACAAATATTTTGTCAATAAAGTATGTGATGTTTAAGATGTTAAGGTATTTAAAATCATCAAGTCTGAATAATTGCTTTTAAGTTGTTTTCGATGTTGTGTTCTTTCTTTGATTTATATATTTAAGGTTTTTTTTTCTTTTTCTTTTTTTTCCCACAGACCTACTTTATTCAAACAGCAGTTCTTCACACTCCAGTCCAGTAGGTGGCAGAAATGCATGTTATATTGGTTTGCCAACCACCTTAAAATGGAAAAGCAGGTGTTCTACAGCAAAATTCAGCCAGGTGAGTCTCCAGGAACAGAATCAAGCATCCCTGCTGTTTTTACAGGAACAGCTACAACAAAATAACCTGAAAGTGAGTGTTTTGGGAATTAACAACTTTTAAACTTACTAGTGCAGGTCATTCTTTATTAGGCCACATCATCCAGAATATTTCTTGCAGTAAGAATCATGTTCATTTTTTTTGTGTTTATGCCACTTCACCCTGCCTTAGATGGTGGGAGAAAAAAAACAATGCACCATTTCAGGCCTCTTCTCTTCCTCTTCCTTATGGGCCAGGCACCACTAAATGCTGACATTTCAAAAAGAGGAAGCCCATTTAGTGAAAGCTTACATGGTATCAGGAAAGTGAAATTTGAACGTTTCGGTTGTGCAGAAAGAAGAAGTTTACCGGCCTCTTACTGGAAAAGACCCCCCTGACTCCACTCATACTTCCGTCCCACATATTTGGCAAACAAAAAAAAAACAAAACAAACAAAAAAAGTATTTCTCAATGGGCTGTATTTACACCACTGAACGGGAAATAAGAGGTGAGGTCAGAAATGTCAAAGTGGGATGACACTGGATGAGTGAATACACTTGTTATTGCCAACAGTTAACAACATCATTTGGGCTGCACTCAGTGTTCTCTTTTGTTTGGCTGTGATTGCTTAACATCTTCCAGTCAATCTATTTCCTGTTAAGATTTTATTCCACAACAGTTTGCATTTATTCATTTGGCAGACACTTTTAGAATTTTGAATTGATTTGCGGTGCATATAAGGTGGACAATGTAGAGTACTTTTTTGTCTGCATGCAGTACGTGTTCTCTGAATCAAACCCTTGGTGTTGCTAGCATAGATTTCTTAATATAATATCTATATGTTTTATGCTCATAAAGAGAGAAATGGCATGGTATTTTGATTCATGTGTTTTCATATGTGAAGTTTTTAGGTTATTTTGATTTAGTTTTCTTTAGCCCCATATGAATATTCTGTAATTATTTACTCACCCTTATGTCAGTTAATAGCAAGAAGTAAAATGTCAGTTTGTTCTTCACACAAAGCTGCCGCAAGACTTAAATAAGAAATACAGTGCATGAGACATATGAACTATATTTATAGTGTTTTTATGCTCAGCAGATCCTTCAGAAATATCTTCTGTCCACAAAGAACGGCACATGCAGTTGAAAGAATGTGATGGTGAGTAAATTATGCTATTATTTTATTTTTATTTTTTTAATGGGTGTACTATCCCTTTTACATTATGTATTGTTTGTTAATGAAAATGTTAGCTGCCATTTTTTTTTTATATCAGCATTTTATAACATAAACATAAATTTAAAGATAAATGAATCAATTTAATGATAACATGATTTTTTTGAAACTATCCCTTTTACATTATGTATTGTTTGTTAATGAAAATGTTAGCTGCCATTTTTTTTATTATATCAGCATTTTATAACATAAACATAAATTTAAAGATAAATGAATCAATTTAATGATAACATGATTTTTTTGATCATGATAACATGATTTAGAAAAATCTTAAAATATATTGAAATGTATGCTTGAAACAAGAAAATTAGGAAAATAAACTTGTGTTCTCTGTGTTGGATTTATCTGAAAACAAGACTAAAGTAAATATACAGTGTCTTGTTTTAAGGATGTTAGGATATTGTAAGATAAAAATAGTTATTAAGAAGATTTCTTTTTAATTCAGTGATTTCACTTTTTAGCTTTCCTGTGGGAATGATGCATTTGAACTCTAGCAGGTATTGCCAGCAGGGAGTGCTATATGACAGCTAAAACACAACTTACGATTCTAATAATAAAGAAACTTGGCCTTTAAATTTACACAAAGTTCCTGGCTCTAACAATTCCCTTAGTCTAATTATTACTCATCTCATTTCAAGCCTCATGAGTGCATGGACTTTCCGTTCAATGTCAGTGAACTTTCCCGAATATTTCATATTTTTCTAGTAATGTTTATGTCCACCCTCCCTCACTCTGCTCTACATCATGGTCCGTGGCCCCTGTTGTTTTTAAAGAGTGCAATATCCCTCTGCTGACACACAGATTCTGTGGAATTAGCCGGGAATACTCCTTCCTGTCCGATAGAGTATGACTGTGTTTTGTTCTGAGAACTACTTGACAGCGTTTTCTTTTGTGGAATTTATGGGAATTTTGGCCATCTGGGATGATGGACCATTGACTATATTTGGGGAATTCACTATTATACACGTGGCTGTCCGCTTTTTAAATTAATTTATTAATTTATTTATTTTGTATTGACTGGTTCATCCTGTAGTAAAGGGCTGAAATGCTCTTGTGATGCCAGACTGGAGTAAATGGTTTCCATGGTAACAGAGGAGTCTGGCTGCTAACCAAACCCTGCACTGTGCTGGAACAGACAGAGCATTCTGGTTTATAATACATCAAAACTACCACCATCACCTTACCTAACCCTGCCTTCCACTCCCACACACACGTTTAAGAGGGCAGAGCCGCTTGAGTAACTGCATCAATGTGTTATACATTTGGAAATAGTATCCATCACCATTCAAGCATTTTATAATCACTTCAAGTATGTTAGAGCAGTGATTCTCAACTGGTTTTGCTTCAGGATGTAGATTTTACATTTGAAATCATGATTAATAGAATCATTTTTTGTACAAAATTGAAGACGTGATTTTAAAATCACTTCATATTAATATGGCCTACAAGCTTGTCTCTATCATTTGAGGGTTTGGTTTCCTAAATTCCCTTGAATTTCAAAGGTTTTGTGCTTTTTAGCAACAAAAATAAATTAGAACCATTAATAGTGTCAATTATTATTATTACAATTTTAAATAACTCTTTTCTCTTTGAATATATTTTACAATGTAAATTATTCCTGTGATGCAAAGCTGAATTTTTAGCATCATTACTCCAGTCTTTAGTGTCACATGATCCTTCAGAAATCATTCTAATATGCCGATTTTCTGATCAAGAAACATTTCTTATTATTATCAATGTTGAAAACGGTTTCGTTTCTTAATGTTTTTTCAGGATTCTTTGATAACTAGAAAGTTAAAAGGGACAGCGTTTATTTAAAATATAATTTTTATTGTAACAATTTAAAAATCTTTACTGTCACTTTTGATCAATTTAATGCATCCTTGCTGAATAAAAGTATTCATCTCTGAAGAAATATATATATATACATATATACATATATATATATATATATATATATATATATATATATATATATATATATATATATATAAGCTAATTTTGGAAATTCAATTGTGCTTTTTTTAATTTACATTAACTTTACCATCCTTTAACACTAAGTTTAAGACATTTAACAGTGATGCTAAATTAAATCTCTTAATTTTTGTTAAATGCTACAATGTGAAATGTTTTTTATGATTCACATTTAGTATTATTTCCCCTGCTGCCTGCAACACTGCTTTATAGCATTATCTCCATGGATCTTCAAGCAGTCATTGGTGATGCAGTATGATGTGTAGCCCACATGACCGCTGTAGTTAGTCATCATAAGCCAGGGGGTAAATCATTGACCCACAAGTACTATAATCATTCTGTGATCATCACATGAACAAAACACTCTGTAATTTGGAAAAAAGGCCGTTTGTTGCCAGTGATTCCAAGCATGTTATTCCTGTTGAGGAAGTTCTGAGAAACAGGCCGTTGTGTTCCTCAGCTGATTGATAGATGGCGCCGTACAACGAATGAACTCTGCGCCTCCTTGGCAAACCAGCACAGTACAGGGCGTGTGAATCTGGCTCCATCTCAAAGCACTTTGAATTTGTCATTCAGTGTGCAGCTACAAATATATATTTTTTTGTTTTATTTGTTCCGTGCTGAAAAGGATGCTGGTGAGAAGGAAGTGAGGTCTTTAATCCTTGCATTGTTTCATGTTAGTATTGTTTATAACATTTCCACATGACCTAATAAGGCCCTGTTTCCTGTGCTGCAAAATAATGACAAAAACACATCTTGCAATTAATCAATCAGATGATAACATGTTTTTTTTTTAAAGACAACTATGAATATCTTTGTTGAAGTGTCAATACCTCTTGCCCTTTAAGAAGCCCTTTGGCTTTGTCCATACTAGGGTTCATGAGGAAGGTCAAGTCTTTTTCAGATGTTAAAAGTGGCAAAGCTGTCCGTTTCCTTTCAGAGTTCCTTTCATATCTCACCTCAATCGGTCTGCGTTATCTTTTAATACCTCATCAGATCTCACTTCATTATGCAGCTATCTGGAATACTTGATTCTGATTGGACAGTGGCAACATTCTGTTGTGTTTTGTAATAGTTTGTTCAGAATTAAAGAATTGACTTACTTTCAATTAATGAGTCCTGGCCATTTGACACAGGAAGTTGGAATTAGATTTTGGAATTGGGAAGCTGAAGTTGGAATTTGGATTGGAGTGACAGAAAGAGGACTTGTAATTCAGTGAAACTGAATGATAATGATTATGCATATGTAAATATATGAAATTGAACTATAATGATAATGCATATGTTTGTGTGTACATATGTGTATGTATTAGTAAAATATATATTTTTATTATAGATTTTATCTGTTACAAAGTATATAAACTAAATATATTCTCTATACATCATCAGCTGTTACAGTCATATGAACTTCTTTGAATTTCAGTTTAATTTAAATTGACTTTAAATTCCCATTCAAATTGCAATTCTGTATTCTGTTTGTGTACCCAATTCAAATGGAAATGAAAAGTCATTCTCAATGAATTTTGAATGTTGCACAAACTGTTATAAGTTAGCGACACTAACTACTATGGGCGGAGCTTGAACAATTATTGTGCTATTGCTTTCACTTTCTTCACACATAATGTTGACTCATTTTTTTCCCCTGTTGACTGCAATCAATATTTCATGCCCATTTATTTATTTATTTGGTAAGTTGCAGTGTACAACAATGTATAGTTAGCTGCTTTTTATTACAAAATAAATCCAGTTTATGATGATCAGAACATAGAAGCATAGAACATAAATTGAAAAATTATGTGTTGCAAGATGCTGTTAAATCCATCTACCTCCATTTTCTTTAATCTAGCAATGATTATTCATGACACATTTGTTCTTAGTGGAAAGGCATCTTAAAGACAACCATGAATTTATGAAGACAAAAGGCTACAGGAGGTGCTCTATAACCTGTTGGTTCCAGGAGCAGCCTCCCTGAACTCTTTCTGTGACCCCAATTTCATCCTATGTCCATGGTCTCTTTGGACGCCCCAGTCACTCATAATTGGTTTTGACGGATCTGTGTTTCGCAGTGTGTGTGTGAGCGCGCTGTCTTTGGTGTACCATGTCCATGAGGTTCATGGGAAGAAGCTAGCAAAGCCCGGCCCAAATCTGAACTCCCCCCTCCTCTTGTCTCCTCCTCTCCAATCTAGATCCATTGGCTGCGATCTCTGTGGCGGAATGCTGCTGGTACCCCCTTCTAACCTCCCCCCAACCCTCCCCTTGAGTTCACCCACCCACTCATTAGGAATTCCAGCCGGGCATTGTGGGTGGGATGAATGGGGTCAGAGCCAAGGAATGAAGTAGGAAGTTTTCACAAGAGTTTAGCCTTTGTTTATTACTGCTTGGCTTTGTTTTGTTTTATCCAAAGCTTGGAAAAGTGCCCTGACTACTGATTTAAATTCTATCTATCTATCTATCTATCTATCTATCTATCTATCTATCTATCTATCTATCTATCTATCTATCTATCTATCTATCTATCTATCTATCTATCTATCTTTCTAACTCTCATTATATCATTCCGTCTCTCTGCAATCTATATCGTTCTGTCTTGACATTTTATCTAACTTACTGTCTCTGCCTGTCTGTCTAAATGTGGATGGTGTGCTGATGGTTATAATGTCCATACTATGATTTCTGAGTATTTTTGCAGCTTAGGTTTAGTTAGTTAGGGTCTCCCATCCTGACCTGCTGAAAACTGTGTAAAACCATTTTGACCAACTAAGACCAGCAAACTAGCTAAGTCTGGTTTACCTTGGACTTTTGGACAGGTTTAGAGAGAATTGGTTGCATTGCAATCTCCTAGTACTACTACATATTATTTGAGAAAGAGCATATCTACTATGTTATGGCCTTTTTAATTGTGATATTAACCACAGAGGCCTAGCTCTACACACCCTTTCCAATAGTCCATGTAACTTGAAAATACAACATTAATTCTATAAATCATTTTAGGCATATCCAATCCTAAATTAGTTTACCTTTAATAAAGCAGTTTAAGGGAGTTTGTTGGCGCCACTGTCCTTCTGGGGGCATTGGGTTCAACTGATGCAAAGCATCTGTACAATCTAATAATAAAAAAAAAACTGCCATTCATTTATTGTGTGACGTATTTGTGCAAGTGAATGAGTAGACCGGTCGGTGTATTTTCATCTCACACTGAGTCGGAGGGTTGTGTTCTGTGTGTGGCGCAGGACCCTCGCCCTTTAGGATGCTTTTGTGTGGGCCTCCAAAGAGGCCAAGTTCACAGAGACACAAAAGCGGGGAAGAATACCGGAGGGAGTGGGGTGTCAGGGGGCAGCTATCAAAGGATATCAGCACATTCTTACAGCTGCTGCTCACTAATGCATTGTGATTTGTATAGCGGAGCAGATGAATGAAATGAAGACTTGTAAAGAAGATGAAAAACTGTATTTGATAATGCATGTCAGGTCTTGTGGACTTCCACATGCTTTTGAAATAACTGAATGGGGAATTGGTTCTGTGAAATTGTGAGATATAAAGATCATTTGTTTGGTTTTAAGAAATATGGCATTTCTGAGTTTTTAGAAGGACTGAGAAATATATTTCATATATTTCAGCCATATATAATAAGTGTATTAGCAGATAAAATGCTTGCTTTTCAAACTCAATCCGCTCTTTTCATCCACTTTTCTTCGCAGACATACATGTATCTCTCTCTTATTCTGTTTGGGAGTGGGTGAAGAGAGCAAGAGGGGCCCTAAATCAAATAAACATCTCAGCCCGATTGCTTCATCTCTGCTTTCCAAGAAAACCAGACATCCAGGCTGAGAATAAACTCTATTTGCATTGTCTCTTCCAGCTGTGGATCTCTAAGTGTCTTTTATTGAATCTGGTCTCATTAGAGAGCCGGACCAGCAGAGATGATGCTGCTGTGGACAGCACTCAGCTATAGCACTTATATCCAGAGAGATTATATATAAACACTACACTGTGTTTTGGATCCATAATGGCTTCCTCCCCGCTCTCGAGTCTCTTGTTGCTACAAACTCTGTTGTTTATGGCACTGATTTTGCGGGCTCATTAATTATAGATGAGATGGTGATGTCCTGCATCCTGATTTAGTCATAATGACTACGTTTTTTTCATTGTGATGGGAGGAGAGATCTGCCTTGTGATCTCTCTCCGCACTGTTGACGGCCTGTGTTGCTACTACAATAGTAAAATGTATAATTATCCCTCTGATTAGCATATAACAAACACCTTCCTGTAAATGTACCATAGTAACCAGTTAGCAGAAAATGCTGTAGTTAATTTACATAATAAAACTGTGTATAAATAAAATCTAACATATTTTGAAAGCTTCTTGCATGGTTTGAAGGAGATCCCATTCTATGCAGATCTTTTTTGTTTGGTTGTTTATGGTTTTACAGTTGTAACAATCAGTCAATCAAAATGTATTTACAGTACATAGCACCTACCAATCAAATTTAATTCAAAATGCTTGACACAAAATGTAGTACAGTAACAACCCATTATTTTTATAGTTAATGATAGTAAAATATAAAAATTGTATATAGTACAATTTAAGTAAAATATTAATGAAATAATATATACAAAAAATTGGATATAAATTATTAGAATAAAATAATGATCAACAGTTATTTTAGTAGCTAGTTTGGCAGGTTACCATGGTCACTTTTTGTGAGGTTAGTACAATTGTACATTTGTTGGTTTAAATGAAACTATGGAATGAATGTTTCAACACGTAGACACAATATGGTCCAGAGAGTCCAAAGAAAGATCAAATTTCTGATATTTCTTAACCATATTGTTAATGGAAATAATGTAACTGGAAAGAATGTAAGCTAAACTTGGCATCTAATAAGGACAAATATGCTTTATTTTAGCCTCCAACAGCAAAAAGGAGGCCGAACCGCCTGCCGGCATAGTCTGTCTCCATGCAGTGAGAGGGAGCAGAGCATGATGGGAGGTGGGATGGTGGGGAGGTTTGGTTCTCACAGGCTTCACTCTGACAATTTCCGCCAACACCCCCTGAACACACACACACACTCTCTTCAATGCGGTTTTCACAGTCATTGCCCTTCAATACTGACCTGTGGAATGAGGGGGTTCATGATGAGTTTACTGGTCGGAATGTCTGTATGAAAAAAAAATAATACATTGAAAAAAAAAAAAAAAAATATATATATATATATATGTGTGTGTGTATACCCTAGCAACCATGCAGAAACTACATAGAGCACCCTAGCAACGCCATAACAACCACCCAGTATACCCTAGCAACACCCTAGAAACCGTCTAGAACACCCTAGCAGTTATTTAGAATACCCTAGCAATGCCCTAGAAGCACCCATAATACCTTAGCAACACCCTAGAAAGCATCTAGAACTCCTGAGCAACCACGTAGAACACCTTAAAAATGTCCTAAAACCATCCAGAATACCCTAGCAACACCATAGAAACCATCTAGAACAACTAAAAAACTAAACCAACTAAAAAAGCCCTAGGACCACACACAATGCCGTATAAACCATCTAGAAAGCCCTAGCAATGCCATGGCAACCATCTTTATCACCCTTAGCATTGCGCCAGTTGGGTGTTGCATATATTTCTGGTTTGGTTTGTAACCCCAGAGTTTTCTTTGAAGTACTTTGGAGTAATATGTAAATACCATGATATATTTATACAGCAATTGTTCAGTGCCATTGTACACATCAAAGTAGAAAGATATTACCATCTAATGGTAACTATGGGAATTACCACAGCACTTTTTATGTATGAGAGAAGAAAAATGCTAACAAATATGTGCATTGGACTTAATCTGTGATCTTTAATCATAATCTGTAATCTGCCTTTGCAGCCTAGTATTACATATGAGACGTTTTCTAGATTGTTTTCCATTCTCCTCCTCATATAGGCTTATCGGTGTTCCCAAATGCATCTTTCTAAGCAACAATCCTATTTGTGGACTGAGCAGCATATTGTGTGGCGAGAGATCAGAGAGCGAGGTTCAAAAGACATAGGAAGAAAGAGAGTGAGCGTTCGGGGTCATGCATCACTTAACTGGACACATTAACTTGTAACAATGTGTATGCGAAGTGCTTAACCTGTAGTGGAGGGTCACTGGCTCTCATCACAATAGTTTAAATCAGCACTGGACAATGCCAGGGTCTCACAGAGGGCAGGAGATGGGCCGTAGCCGTTACCTCTTCCTTTCTCTCTCTGTCTCCACATGCGATCTCCTTTGTGGTCCCCTGTGGCGATAGTCCCATGCATCACTGCACAGTATTTCCCTCTTTATTTTTCAATTCAACAATTTACCACTTTCTCCTGTTTAATGAGCTTCTTGTTGGTGCCCCAGTAATTCAAGACATTTACATTTTTGAATCCTGGTAAATTGACTTTAATGAAACCTATTTATTGCTTCACTTCCATGGAACATTCTTTAACATACAGTATTATTTTATTAGTATTTAATTGGGCACAACAAGGGGAAAAAAGTAGTTCATTCAGTTTTAATGAATGCTTTAAGAGGGAATCGGTGCCATCGGTCACATGACTCATATTTCAATGACTTAATATTACATTTATTCTCATTACAGCCATACATAAAAATCTTTCTTTCTTTCTTTCTTTGGAATATTGTGTACATAACTAGCATTAAAGTGACATTTAACTGTTCAAATGTCAATGAGTCATGCAGAGACTTCTGCAAACGTCTATAAATTATAATGGGATTCATATGTTACTTATAAAACAATAATTTTAACAATACATAGCTATAAAATTATGCATTGTAAGGCAATATTTTATCTTCTTAAATATGTTTTAACTGTATTTCACAGTTTACCCAATTTACTAGCATTTATTGCAGCATTTTCACTTTGGTTTGATGTCACAATTACTGACATTTTTCCAGTCCTTGTGTATTATTTTTTGTTACTATGTTACTATGACAAGAATGGATGTTTAATCTGTCTAATTTTACTCTTTTTCTTGAAGCATCCTCACACTCTTTGCGTGTGTGTGCTCATAAAGAGAACACTAATGATTTTTGCTCCTTGTCCCCATGCACTTCCCAAACCCTGATCCCAGAGCAATAATGAGCTGCTGTGTGTCTTTAGGGGGAAGGGATCCTGTTCCTGTTATTGTTAACTATGGTCGTCCCCATTGAACCCTTTAGCTCAGTCCATATCAGTTATGTTTTTGAGGTCTGGTCTCCAAAAAATGTTTCTGAGGCTCTGATTCTGAATAGATCGTTCGTTAAAGGCGACACATTTAAAGGTTGCGGATTGTCGTGGGATTTCCACCAAACTGTCAGCGGGCCGCCCCTATGTCAAGAGTGGTGTCACAGGGGACTTATGAAAATAGATCTAATCTCATATTTCAAATCAGCGGTGTGCAGAAATGCCCCAGTTCAAAACAGAGATCTGTGTGGCATATGATTTCCTCCACAATTAGAGCAGTGTTGTAGATTATCGGAGTTTGACTAATGGGAAATCCTCACATGGGAATGTCGCCATTGAACACATGAGAGAACAGAGCATCTGCTAAACAACACTCACGTTGCAATCACATGCATGTGATCTGTTGTGAGTAAGGGAGTTTTTGACAGGCTGCAGGGTATCACCGCTTACACATGTGCCGTATCGTCCCGTGGGAAGTGGGCGGTCATGTGCTCTAGAGGAAAAGGCCTTCAGTTGGGATTCAAAGGAATCGGAGAAAGGCCAGTAGGTTTACAAAAGACCTGCGGGCTATAGTATTCATAGCGTCTCCCTCATCAATTTTCCATTTCCCTCATGCTTAACCTTTGCTAAATAAGCCATGTGATGTGTGCACTCGTACATGTGAGCTTGTGTGCATAAGTGTGTATGAAAGCGTAGGTGGATTTAAAAAGTTTGCATTTGCATTACAGTCTAAATATATCATGACATACAGTCCGTTTATTCATCATAAAATAGGCTTTGCTTCAAAACTTGCCAGTGTAAATGGCATTTCAAGGCTTCTTAGACACACTACTGATGCAAAAGACTGATCAAGTATGGCAAAAATTATTTACTTAATTAGTATTTATTAGTATGTCTGGTTTTCCAGTGAAAAATTAGCTTAAGGTATCATGTAAGATTTTACAATGAATTTAGTTTTTATTTTAAATGTAGTTTAACTAAAAAGTTAATAATAAGATAAAGTTCTCAAACTTGAATAATTGTTTATTATAGCCAAAAGACAAAAATACTATTTATATAGTAAAACTTTATTTTACTTTTAAACTGCCAGTAGGTAGTGGTAAATGTCTTTATGAGGCAGTAATTGAGTCATTTATTCATTTGATTCATTCAAACTGCAAATTCATTCAGGAATGGAGCACATGAATGGGCCATTGAATCATTGGTTCACCTGATTTGTGAAACGAATCACCGCTTTGTGTTGTTCTGAGACACACCAGTTCTGATGTGGCTTTATAGGTAATATTTTCTTTGGCAAAATTGAGCAAAACAGACAATATTGTAGCCTATCAAAAATATAACACTTCTTATTTACTGAACTGGTCACATATCATATGATATAAATATGAGACAAAAACTCATACAGGGGCATTTTTGGCCCCATTTATCATAAATTTTAAGGACATATAACTGCATTTTATAGATTACATGACGCAGTGAGTTGGTGCACTCTATCATGTTTGTCAACATTATGAAATGTAAGATGACTTGCAGGTCTGGGACAGGGCGGGTGTGTAAATTGCGTTAAAATATTGTAATCATGGTATTTTTCCGTAACTAATTAAATTAATGAGCTAAAACGACAACCCTAATATATATATATATTTGGCAGTGACATATATTTTGTGTTTTGCAAAGTTTTGCTGCTTCAGTATTTGTAGATTATTTTTCCACGTTTCTATGGTATACTGAAAAACAATGATAAGCATATTATAAGTTTTAATGGCTTTCATAGGCAAAGAAATATAATGAGTCAATATTTACAGTGTTGACCCTTGTTCTTCATAACCTCTGCAATTCGCTCTGGCATGCTGGATATTA